TGGTTTATTGTGTGGTGGGTGCAGCAACGTGCTGTATCAATGTGTGCTCCTTACCCCTCGTTCTCTCCATGATCTCTGCATGCCAGTGCTCAGCAAATCTTATCTAATCATTTATAGGTTGGGAACAATCACATGTCTTCATATATAATCAGTTCTTGATGTCTTACCACTGGGCCGTAATCATTCAAAAACACAAGTAATGCAATTAGTACATTGATATTATGTACAGTACATTATAATAGAAATTTAACCATATTTCACATTCAATACATTTACTTTCCTTTTGTAGGATTTCAGACACTTTTTAAGCAGGTTTTCCTCAGTCAGGTTCTCTGCAATTCAGTAAAACTTTTGCAAATTTTATTGGTCTTATAAGAAAAATCATTACTTTATTAATTTATATATATATACAGTATATATATATATATATATATATATATATACTGTATATATATATATATATATATATATATATATATATACTGTATATATATATATAAATATATATATATAGCATTAGAAACAACCAGTGATCTTAAATAAAACATTAATTTCAAGTAGTGATAAATTGAAATTCAAATTATAGTTCTAAAAGAGCTGTTCTGAGTTAAACAGTCCATTGACAAGGAGTCTCATTGGGTGCTTTTTAGTTTAGTAACATCTCTGCACTAACATCACACACCAAAAAGATGCGGTTGGTATCCCTTTGCGAGGCAAAGACTAAAACTGCAATAGATAGCAAAATGGCAAGAACAGAACTGAATAATTATGACACTCAATTAAAAGAAAATGTCTGTGTGGAAGACAGGTAGATACATTAAACATTGCTTGTGAATGGACTTTTATTACAAAACCAATACATTGCTACAGAATTAAGCAGGCATCCCAAGACTTTCTGTGAGCACTTTATCTTTGTGTCTAGAGCAGTCAGTAGCACTGTAGAAATATTATTCCCACTCAAACTACACCCCAGAAAATGAAATCGAAATAATATTTAGTTTGTCAGATGTGAATATAAAGCAGGGGTCTCCAACTCCGGTCCTGGAGAGCTACTATCCAGTAGGTTTTCTGTCCTACTTGGCTTCTGATGAGCCACACCTGTTCCTGGTATTTACCTGAGAACAGGTGTGACTCATCAGAAGCCGGGTATGATAGAAAACCTGCTGGATGGTAGCTCTCCAGGACCGGAGTTGGAGACCCCTGATATACAGGGACAGTACCGTATACAGAGATTATGCTGCCAATCAGTGGTGTAACTGCAGGCACCTAAAGTCATGTGATGTCTTCCTCCTTGCCCCCTAACAGACTGACTTATCTGCTCATTTTCTTTCCCTCTGATATCCATTTAGTGCCTGTGTACATCCTCCCATTTAAAATTTTCAAGTAAGCATCCCATTACTAATAGAAGATGGCATGTTTAATGACATATCTGAATGATATTCTCTATTATTCACCACAGTGAAATGCAAAAATTGAGAGGTACTGTACCAATAAAAACAATGACAGCTAGTGGTCCATTTCCTACATTAGTATTTTTACAGGCTCTGCTAGTGCCCTGGGTAGTTTGTTAATTTTATAAAGCATAACTCCCTGAAAAGGAAGTCTCGGTGCCTGAGTGTGTCGCTCCCTGACTTCACACCTCCGGAAATGGGGGTCTGAAACCAACCCCCATCTCCGTGTATTTCCAGTTTGCATGTTCTCCTCATCTTTCTTTGGGTTTCCCCTTGCGGTCCAAAGACATGCAGCTAGGTGAAAATGGTTTCCCTAAATAGCTCAAAATGCGCACTGAGACTGTCTGGCATCCAGTCCAAGGTGTGTCCTGTTCTCCTCAGGAGTGACGCCAGTTTCACACTAACCCTGTACTACATGAACATCATGGAAAAATTCACGGCAATGGCATGCGGTGTATCTAAAGAAATCTTCCGTTTATCATTAATAAACGTTTATGTTTATGCTAATATCCTCAATGCTTAAAATGTGTCGTTATCGCATAAGGTACAACGGGCACCACCTATTCAATAAGGCAAGCCGCTGGTTCGCACGCCATGCGCAATAATAAGTTTTAATTATCTATTATGGTGCTCGCGGCTGGTCGCGAGCGCTCGCAACATCCACGTCACATCTGTCGGAGGCCAAGTGACGTCATCAGTGCGCGACTACGACGCGGAATCCCACTGCGGCGGTGTGTTAAACCATCGCTGGAAGTTTGGGACAGACACGCGTTAAGTAACTGGGATCGTTACACCTGACACCGTGGTCGTGTTGTAGGAAGGCGTCTACTCGACAAAGATCAGAGAATTTACAACTAAAACCGGGAAACTGCATCTGTCAGGTAAGCAGATTGATAACAAAAAAAACTTTACCTTCTGTAACTGGTAGATCTTTATTTTATAGATGAAGTTGGGTAGTTGATTAACACAAAAGGTGATGGTACCCGAATAGTTTGGTCTGCTGATCTTAAAATTCGTTTTCGGACGAGCTATTATGGGGAGATACTGGTAGACCGCTTACTGTAAATTCGATGCTGTGGTGCTGGGCATGTCCCGAAACCAGAACAAAGAAAGGAAAGTACACGGCACTGACCTCTTGATGTAATGGAAGGATGGATGAGTGGACTTGGGTGCTGGGTCTGAATCAAAAGTCTGTTCTTACGAAGATACACAGTAAAACTAAACGTTTGCCTTCGAAAAGTCAAAGTCAGTTTCACAGATCCGTGTTTGTGTACTTGAACGTAATCTTAATCGTCGTAGGAGATTGGGAGGAAGGATACTCATATTGCATTCCCAGGAATGGCATAAATAGAGCGTTGACGTTTGAAAACGAGTTTCCTGATGGTGATAATATTAGGATTAGGCGGGGAAAACCTATTACGAACGAAATGGAATCAAGATGACAACATTTACTATGGATGCTTGTGTTGTGATACGATGTCTGTGTGTTTTGCCGTCCATTGGTGAGACGTCACCTAGTCATTTGCCACATTAAGTCATCAGCCGGAGACCATGAACACCAGTCTTATAGCACCATTAGATGGCGTCTGTTAACCTGGATTATTATTATTATTATTTTATTATTATTAAAGACGTACGTTGAGTGCAGAATTATTCACATTTCGTTCTTGCAGGCAGTGATCATTTAAAAATACTATTCCATGGTTAAATATTATCCCTGGAGCAGGCTGACCTTGCCACAATGTTAGTGAATAATACTGATTGCTTTCTTTTGCACTTCGTCTGTTTTGCACTACATGTATGTTCGTCTGTGCCATACATACTATCTGTACGCCAGAATTTCTCCCTGGGATCAATAATCTTGATAGTACTAGTTGATACACATGTCTGTTTAATAATGTATGTAAGAGAGATTTCATCATACATTGCATATGAGTGGAATAGGTCCTGTTAGGATAGAAATGATTGCTGAACCGTCAGTGGGCATTGCTTGTTTTCGTTAATTTATGGGGATCAATTTATGTGTGCTGGCCGGGACTGAAACAAACACCCCCCCTGCTTTTCAAGGGCAGTTTGCCTGCTGTCCCTGAGGTTTAACTGAATACACTGGTTTGCTCCCACAGCCCAAAAATGTGGGTCCCAACGAATTGGTGTCTATAAACCAATTGCAGACAGCTTACTCTACAAAGAGCAAGTTGAGGGAGGCATAAAGACAATTTCCGCACAGGGATCAATAAAAGTATCTATTAATAATAATAATAATATTATTATTATTATTGTTTGTGTGAGTGACTGTCCCACGATAAACGGGCATCCTGTCCTGGGTGCCCCCTCTCTTTTGCCCCCTGATTCTTGGGAGGGGCTCCAGGGCTCACCAAAATCCTATACTGAGTAAAAATGGCAGGAATTGGATGCATGGATAGAACTTTTTATTGTGAAACTGTGGTGTTTTAGAGTATTGCGACATTGGTGTGTGACATTGGCATGCTGTTTTCTTTTTGCCCAACCCAGAAAGGCATAATGCTGTTTGACATTTTTTGAATGACATAAGCAGATGTTGATATTGTATGATGTTGAACTTTTTTGCTGTGGAATGTGGCTTTGAGGCAAACTGGCCAAACATGCTTTTGGGCGTTTGTGGGAGGGGACTTAGCCGAACGGCGCCATCATAGCTGTGGTTCTGGCTTCATAGTCATGAGGTCGCCTTTTCCCCCGACACGGCCTCTCGAGGGGGGTAGCCTGTCTCCACCCCAGGGTCCTGTGACCGGCCACTCACAATGATCATGTGTTGCAGTTTCGACACGGCACCCATTCACTACCACCCCACCTACTTCCTACTGCAGAGCAGATCCCCGAGCAGTTTGACACTTTTCAGTATTATCAGTGTTCCATGTGCAAACCTTTTCTGTCAGCATCTTTTCAAACCACGCGTGTCATCGCTCAGCCTTTGTCCGCCAGGGTTGGGCTGCTGTGGTCGTGGCCATGACAGACTGACATGTCGCCACTGTAATGGGACTTCAGCCCTGATGTCCTCCGTCCGTCAGTGTGATGGTCTGCAGTAGTAACCATGGCGATGCCCGTAAGGGGGCATCACCTTACTTTCGTACAGCCCTCTGCCATGATAAATGACCATACGGTGACTCAATCCCTTTTGTGCCTGTGTTTGGCTGTGGATTAGGGGTGTGTATCTGTCCCATTCAGATGTTACAATGCACATCTAGCTGTATGGTCTACAATATAAAAATATAAACAGCTGAACGCAATGATTCAGTGCACTTTAGTCAATGTCAAGTTTATTTACTAAGTTTATTTTTAGCACATTAAAAACAGCCAGCGCTGACCAAAGTGCTGTGCAATCATGAAATGTGTGTGTGTGTGTGTGTGTGTGTGTGTGTGTGTGTGTGTGTGTGTGTATATATACACACACACACACACACACACGCACACCTCGGATTGGATATTTAACTTTTCCCCCCAAAACAAGTTGCTCTGTTTTGCTCAGTAAAATCCTTCTGAGACATAACTGAAGTAGATAAGATTTTGCCATGAAAAAATAAGATTGCTGTAATAGTGATTGCATTGACTTGTGCCGGCTGTATCGATATTTGGTCAATTTCCCTTTAAATTTGAGTGGATTTGCTGGTCTTCAGTTGGTGTTCCCATAGTGTGGACACTTGCACAAGATTCAGATCAGTTTTTCATTGCGTCCATACGGTATACAACCACTCTCCTTGTATATTTTAAGACTCATATTTTCATCCAGTAATCCATCCATCCATATTCCAGAACTGGTGCCCAGTCCCTTACCTGTTCATATGGATCATATACCAACGCGAAATCCGAGAGAGCAGAAGGGAATGACGTGGCCAAACCGAATCATCTAATTTTCATATTTCCTGAGTTTATTGTACCTGAATATTAGCTATGTTTTGTGTCTAATTTAAAAGTGAATAATGATTCCTGTGCTTTAAAGAGTACGCTGCCTGCATTGAGTGTTACTGGTTACTGTGGTACTGAGCGCGTTCTCCGTCATCTCAGCCCTTGCTGTCCGCGGTGCCGTTTGCCGGCTTCTCTTCGGGTCACGGCAGGACGTGGAAGCGCTGGTCTGAAGCGCAGCGAACATCCGGCTGTAATCTGAGACGCGTCCTCCTCTTGCCCGCATGCAGCGAAGAGCCTGCTTTATGATACAGCCTGGATCATGTTATCATCCTGTTAGTTAATTTCACGTAGGATGTATTTGTGGTGGCAGCATAGTGGCTTACTGAGTAGCAGTTTGGATTTTTGAATTCCACCTCAGACTGACTGATCTCTCTCTATCGCCCGTAGAGTGTGATCTTTGTGCTAATGTGTGTCCTGCGATAGATTGAATGAATGAAAATGAATTCCTATTAAATGTTCTCTGTCCGTTTCCTTGTTCTGTGGTTTGTTCCGCCAGCTTGATACAACAAGTGCTGAGGGCTGTGTTTTGTTTGTTTTGGTTTGGTTTCTGCCTGGAAACTGCACTAGAGGACAGAGACTGAATGACATGCAGCATTTGCATAAACAGTGGTTACAATACAGGTGTTTGTGTGACTTGCTGTAAAGGATTCTCACCACCACGTCACCTAAACATCAATATGTTAATCATCCCTTAAAATGGAAAAAATGTCTCAATAATCCTGTTTCATGGTACGGCAGACCCTCTATAAATTGCTGCCACGTAGGGAAATGTGTGAGGGGTGTTTTATGGGAGTCGTTTGAATTACAGATAACAAAACGGCTGCTCTATTTGTCTGAGTGTCGAGGTCCTGAGCAGTACCTACAGAGTTTGCTCTGTACGCCTCAGCCCGCCCACTGAGAGGAGTGACCGTCCCTATAGCCAATGGCAGGCTCGTAGGCAAATGAAGGGGGCGGATCCAAGCCGTCTTCACTCCCCCCCCCTGGAGGAAGCTTAGAATACCAGAGTGGGCTGGGAGGCCGTGCGCCCATTTCCACACTGGCAGGGACGGCGGACGAGAGAGAGCGAGAGAGCGAGCGAGCGAGAATCATCCAGGGGAAGGAAGGAGCAGAGCAGGCAGAACAATGCACCCAGAGCAGTTAAGCAGGAACCCCCATGTAAGTCATCTTCTCCTCCCTTTTTTCCTTCCTCCCATTCTCCTCCTTCCCCATCCCTCCCCCCAGCCGCAGGCCTAGGCTTGAGATGCTGCCCTGAGAGAAGCAGATGGGGAGGAGGGGGAGGAGGGGGGTTGGATGGAGCGCTGAATATTTAATCCGCGATGGCCAGACCTAATTTTCCTTTCCCGTCTTCCTGCATCTGTCCCCACAAAGACGTCAAGGCTTTGCTTCCCCCCCCCCACCACCCCATTCTGTCACATTTAGGTTGCTGCTTGGCATTGGGTACCTCAGCCGTCACTCGTGGTAGCGATTACCTTTAGCCTCTGTGCCGGTCACCTCCCCAGGACAGACTGCCAGGGCTAGGGGCCAGGCTTTCAGAACCTTGTTCTGAGTTGCGTTTCCATCTCCTTAGGGCATGTAGCTGTGTATACAGTGCAACGCCCTGATTCTGTGGTTCACTGAGATTGCCTCGTCCTCTTCCCATTCACGTCAGGCTTGCGAGGTCAGCATATTGGCTTTGACTGAGGTGAACGCTATTCCTACAAATCCTGTGGTTTTGTTCTGTTCGTTTAGCTGCTGTCCGCTATACAGCAATGCGCGTCCTTGGGCTATTTAGCCGAGTGCAGCGCCAGGGCCGCGTTAGCAGCGGTCCGTTACCGCCGTCGATGCCCCGACTGCCGTGACTGTCAGCTTTGAACGCGGTTACGATCTGCTTAATGCAGCCTTCGAACCTGCCACGGTGGACAGAGGCAGCGTGAGCTGCCCCCTTCGGCAAACGCCGACGGCGCCCACGTGTGGACAGTGTGTGTAGTCCGAGGTCCTCGTTTTTGGAAGCTGCCCCAGCAGAGGAGATTGTCCCCTTTTATGAAATGTGTAAAAATGTGTGTGGCGTCACCCATTTTAATTTTTTCGATACACTGTTTATGAAATAATGTACATAAAACCAGGCCACTGGGCATTTGCAGGTACCTTCGTTGTCAAGGTGGCTATATGCCGTGAGTTACTGAAGCTTCAGTGTTTGGTCTAAAGGTGACTGGAGGCAGGATTAGCCCTGGCCCGCTCTCTGTCTGCCTGGGTCTCCCACCGAACAGAGCTCTTCCTCCCAGATCAGGTTTTATGGTGTGAGGTAGAACATTTCATGAGCATTAAGGCCTTTACGGGTAAGGAGCTGACAGTATGAGGCCAGGTGCCTCTGCTCTTCAGTGGGACGTCAGAGGTGCAGTCGGTGGTTCCCTGAGTTTCCGGTTTGTGACCGGCGCTGGTATGCCGTACTACTAATAAATCGACTTCCTCGGAGGGGTGGGGTTTGTTCAGGCATCCTTATGGTATTGTAGATGTGGAGATTGAGTAGGTTGGCATGCTGGATGTGGTGAGTCACCAGAGGGGACGACCCGGGTAGCAAGATCTGTGTTTGCTGTTCACTCCTACTATCAATATTTAATTAAAAGGCTGTTTCCAAGATGCAGGCACGTCAGATGAGACCCAAGATGAACAGTCACAAGGAAAGTGTGGAGCCTCCCCTCCCCAGTTCACCCATCACTAATCCCACCTCCCCCATGTGACCTAAACACCACCCCTCCCACACACCCTCCTCCATTACGTTGTCGGTCCACTCTACGGCCCATGTGGTCCTCACGTGCGTCAGAGAGCCGCTCCAGGGAATTACATCATCTTCTTATTAACTTGTTTACTTATTTGTTTTTTTTTTTTTTTATCTGCCAAATAGAAGCCTGTAGAGACGGTAGAAATTTCAGTCCCGATACATGTGAGTACGGTAAACACGAATGCACTGCAAACAAGCAGCCACAGAGGAATGCTGGGTAATTTGCTTTTGGCCAAACATTCTCACGGGCAATAACCCCGGAGATTAAGCTGGGTTAGGAGTGCCATGTGCTTTAAGTCAGAGGCGTAGAGAAAGCTCTAAAAGTCCTGTTCCGTGTGCCGATGTTCCTGGCTTTTATTTTCTTTTCTGTTCTACTTTGTTTTTTGTGCTTTCACGCGTCAGCGCTTCTCCGTCAGGGGATCCCGTGTAAGTACTCTTCGTCTTCGTCTTCATCCGCATGAGAGGTGCTCGGCTGACGTGTGACGGACGCATGTCCTCATCTGCTAAGTTTGCTCATTCTTCACACCCAGGGCCCTCAGCTTTAAAATGTAGAATTAGAATTTAGTGATTAATTGTCATTGTTGACACACCACAGCACACAGTGCACAACAACGAAATGTGTCCTCTGCATTTAACCCATATGTGACAATGTGACATAGCAGGGGGCAGCTAATTCAGCGCCCGGGAAGCAGTGTGGGGGGGCGGTACCTTGCTCAGGGTACCTCAGTGGTGCCTTGCTGGTCGGGGATTCGAACCTGCAATCTTATGAGTGTGCTTCCCTAACCATTAAGCCACCACTGCAAAAAAAAATAATCATATTCCATTGTATAATGCAGTCCCAGAAAAAACTCAAATTATGAGAGGTCTCATAGAAATTGATATTTAACAACAGCTCGTGGGAATTTTACTTACACAAAAATGTTCTGACAGCAGAAGGAAAAATGATTGGTTCAGTCATATTATAATAATAATAATAATTGGTACTTTATTGATCCCTGTGGAAACAGATCAGACTGTAGAGGAGGTGGGTCCAAGCAACTAGAGGAGGCGGGATCAAGACATCTGATTTGTTGATCCCGCTGCCTCTAGTTGCTTGGACCCATCTCCACTACAATCTGATTGAATCCCTGTTTAAACCAATCATTTTTCTGTACAGCCCCTGCTCGCCTTTTTTTGTAACCGTAAACTCGCCAAGCTCCCGTGCCACAATGTCCGCCCGGACCGTGGCAAGCTCCGCCCCCTGACGCCTCGACCCCCGCCCCCCTCTCTCACCAGGAGCTGTACTACCGCAGCATGCAGCGCGCATGGGAGAAGGTGGGCAAGGCGGACAGCAGCGAGGAGAAATCCAGGAAGCGCCGGCTGCGCGTCTGCGTGGCCACGTGCAACCGGGCCGACTACTCAAAACTGGCGCCCATCATGTTCGGCATTAAGGCCCATCCGGAGGACTTTGAGCTGGAAGTGGTGGTGCTGGGCTCCCATCTCATTGATGATTATGGGTAAGGGCGCCCCCTGTTGTCCAATCAGAGGACGTAACAAGTATCAACATCCTAACATCCTTTCGTCTTACCTGCTGTCGACCAATGAGTGAAAGTTAATAAAACACTTGATTATATTCTGGTCGCCACACTCGTCTCCTGTACTCCCCCATGCCCATGTGAATGGTACGGTCTGAGTAACGCCCCCCCCCCCTCCCGGCAGCAATACCTTCCGCATGATCGAGCAGGACGACTTCGACATCGGCTCCAAGCTGCACACCATCGTGCGCGGCGAAGACGAGGCCGCCATGGTGGAGTCGGTGGGCCTGGCGCTGGTCAAGCTGCCCGACGTGCTCCAGCGGCTGCAGCCCGACGTGCTGCTGGTCCACGGCGACCGCTTCGACGCGCTGGCGCTGGCCACGGCGGCTGCGCTGATGAACGTGCGCATCCTGCACCTGGAGGGCGGCGAGGTGAGCGGCACCATCGACGACTCCATCCGCCACGCCATCTCCAAGCTGGCGCACTACCACGCCTGCTGCACGCGCAGCGCCGAGCGCCACCTCATCGCCATGTGCGAGGACCACTCCCGCATCCTGCTGGCGGGCTGCCCCTCCTACGACAAGCTGCTGACTGCCCATCACCGCGACGACTACAAGGACATCATCCGCAGCTGGCTTGGTGGGTATGCTGTGGGGGGGTGACCTCTGACCTTTGACCTCTTCCTGACCAGGTAATCTCTAGGCTGTGTGTGCCAGGTTCGTCCCTCCCGAGACTGATCACGTCACTCAGTGTCTTAAGCTTGTTGTTCCCAACCCCCAGTCCGCTGACTAGTACACTCTAA